TATATTTTATTATTAGTATTTTTATAATGTATAAACATATACAATTCCATTAAAAAGATGATTTTATGAATAGGAAGTTCAGAACAGCATTTATATGTAATAGGCATATTGGGAAAAATTATAAATGTCTTTACTTTCACTTTTGATTAATTTAATTCATCCTTGCTGAATAAAAATAATATTTTTTTTTTTTTTTAAATTCCAAACTTTTTTAATGGTAGTAAATATTAAAATATTTATATAGTTTATAAGTATCTACTGAACTTTCAAGAAATCATATTTTCACACCACTGGCCCCAATTATGTATATGTATTTTAATATTTACAGTTTTCCACTAGCTTTATCAAAACACTCCTATTTAATTATGGCTATAAATAAACCAAACCAGCACAATAGATTTTCATCGTTTTCAGAAACCCTCATTGAGGTTTGTCTTGGCAGTGAACACACTCGTGTGAGCAGTTGGCTGCCATGTCCTAATTCTTCCACTGTATATAAAAAGCCAAACTATTACCTTTTATGAACTGCTTGTCTAGTTCATGTGAGAGAATCAGATAAACGGTTGCTTGAGCAGATCCAGATCATGACCAGATCCTGCATTGCATCTGAGTTCATATGCATTAAAATAAACATGTCAATGCATGTGTTCCTGCAGGACTTGTACAGGAAGGTGGGTTCCAGCGAGTGGCTCAAGCACAGTGAAGGTGTATGTGAAGAGCTGCTGGCAAAGCTGGACAGACATATTCAGAAATTCATCAACTGGGACAAAATGTGTTGCCAGGTATAAACATATGTCAAACAAATAGATTGATTTGTTGAGTAATTAATTATTCCATTTCAGATTGATTGATTGATTGATTGATTTAATGAATAGGAGCTACTGGGTGGGATGCATAAGGAGTTTCTAGCCGAATATGTACGGAAAATGATGAAGCAAAAGATCAAACTTTCAAATAAAGCACAGCAACAGATGGCAGCATCATCACTCTGCATAAACAGTGAATGCATACATACATACTTCATTGCAGCTGTAAGTACATATGTCCTACTTAAAGGTCATAGTTTTGTTCAAATACTGTCTTTTACCCCACTTTAATATGCAAAAATTACACAAATAATGTCTTAGGAAACCAATTTTATGATTACTTTTTAATAATAAGGCATTGTCTAATATTCAAATCCTCATTAATTCATTATCATAGGGATCAGATTTGGATTGGTTGAAAGACATTCTTCCCAATTTAGCGGGTCTGCTGAAACTACAGGATCCAGACAGCATAAAGTTAGAGTTGGTAACTCTGATTAAGCTTTATCCTGATCTCAGGTATGGTATTTTCTGCTGTGCAATTATTTATGCAAAACAACGACCACTGCAATTTTCTCATGTCTGTGTTCTTGTTACAGTGAGCGTCATATCTCTGCTTGGCTGAGACTCAAAGGAAATCTTTCTCCATCAGACCTCAAGATGATCCTGAAGAGCGTCACTTGCAGCCAGAATCAGTTCAGTGAAAAGCAGGACTCACTCCAGTTTAGCAGGAGCTTCTTTTCCACAGTGAGGATCAGATGAATTTTGCTTGATAACATTGCTTGTGTTCATTTGCCTGCTTTTGTAAAATTGTTCCTGCTCAGGCATTTTGCAATTATTTTGTACATACTGAAATTCTTTGTGAATAAAATTGGAAATCACCATTTTTACTTTTTGTGTTACTCCTTTGAAATTTGTCTGTTTTTTACTTTCCAGTTTAATGTGGATTATGAAAAATAAACCTCAAAGAATTTATGGTAACTGTGTCTTGTTATCAGCATCAAATAATTCCAGTACACACATTTTAATAGTTTATTTGCCGCTTTGTGTGGTGATTACTGGATTATGGGAGTGCCTGTAACAGACATCTACAAACAGGATATGGTGTGATAGGTTCAAGTTACACTTCGGAAACACACCTGCTGTCACGATACATGTGTAGTTCCTGAAAGAGTCTGTTCAGGAAGATTTCCCGACAAGCTGTATCCTCTACAGGAACACAGGATGTAGTTGTAGGGTTCATGTTTTTACCTCCTGCTTCCTATCCTTGAAAAATAACAGTCAATCAGCCATACAGACACACAATGTAAATGTATTTCAAATGTAATGCTGTTAAAAAAATAATAAAACAAAAAAACACTTGTTATACATTTAAAGTGACTTGTTTTACAGTACCACTGACTCTTGTATGATAAAATAATCATACATAAAAGAAACACTGTGTTCTATGAAATAAGAATCAAATTAATTACAACCAATATAAATATTAATAATACAACAGTATTTTAAGTTCATAGCTGGACATTTTGTTACAATTTTGGGATACACTTTATTTTAAGGTGTCCTTGTTACAGTGTAACTATACATTTAAGTACTGAGTAATATTAATTAACTACATGTACTTACTATATGGTTAGGGTTAGGATTAGGGTTTGGTTTAGGGTTACTTGCATGCAATTATGCATAATTTATTGTTATTATAATAGCAAGTACATGTAACGTGTCACAAGGACACCTTAAAATAAAGTGTTACCCAATTTTGTAACAATGTAAACGGTAGCAGTCAAAATGAATAACTCTGTGAAAATTATACTGTCATAGAAATGACGTACCAAAAACGTAATTAATGTTTCTCAAGTTGTCCAGATTTTCATGTAAAATCAAAAGGACATTAGATACAAACAAATACTGTATCTGATGAAAATGTAAAAATACCGGTATAAACAACCAACATTCATAACCGAATGTTACAAAACAGTAATGCCATTGAATTAAACTTGTAAACAAAGGTTTTACAATTCTGGCTGATGCTGTTATTCATATCAAAGACAACAGCAAAGTCTCTTCAGAGGCTGACAGGTGACGCGTCTAGGCTTCAGATCGAGGCCGAGGTCCCGGCTCACATCCAGCACTTCCCTCACCTGTCGCTCTGAAAACACCCCCTTCCAGCGCAGCAGACCAGGTATATACTGCTCACTGCAAAACATTGAGAAGAAGACTTCACTGCACTGTCTGATGAAAACAAAATCACTCTTATAAACATGAATAATCTCATAAATACTACTATAACAAATATTTCCAGGCTTGTCATTATGTGTACAAAGTATATAATAATTTAAGTGTTATTGGCTAAGTTTACCTCTCCTGAGGGAAATCTCTGAACAAAGCACAACAGGTAATCTTCAGTGCTTCTACATCACTGTGAAGCAAAACTTCACTGAGTCTCTGAAGGAGATGGTTCCTCTGGTCATCACTGCCATTCTGTAATAGAGTTACATTGGATACATTGTCTATGAAAATACTGCATTGCATTGATGCTGTGGCTAATGTTAAAAGAGTCATACTCTTGGGAATTGATTGTCACTGACAAAGTTCTTTTTAATTCAGTATCTTAAAGGCACTGTATGGATAATTTAGTTGGTATTGCATTATTTACTTAATAAGCAATGGTAGAAATCAGTTCCCGCTACCCATGTTGTTTTTATTCATGTAACAGATGTAAATGGAAACCATGAAGGAACATACTTGAAGGAGCATATGTGTGTTTATGTATGTATGTATAAAACTGGGCCTTTTACCACCATTATGTAATTAAATTTACTATAATTAAATTTTAAGATAAGAACTTTTAAAGGCCAAAATGCATCAGGAAAATAGCCCTCAATGTACAGTTTTAAAGATAAATCTTTAGTGTCATATATGGTTCTATGACGAACCTTTAACATCCATAGAACCTTTCAAGGTTCTTTATAGTAGAAAAAGATTATTTAGATGATTAAAAAGTTCTTCACACACACATACTGTCACGATAAGGGGTTTTGTCTTGGTTCTCTCCGGACTCCATTCCCCATAAACCCCTGCCTAGGAACTCATTATTGCACCACACCTGTTTCCTATCAGTGACACTATAAAGGTTGCACTCATCCACACACACATTGCTGATTATTGTTTAGCCTGTTCCAAGTCTCCGTGTTTCCTTGCCTTGTCTTGCCTTACCTTCTTGTTTTTTGACCTTGGACTGTTTATTGGATTACTCTTTTGTCTCGCCCTGGATTGTACCTGTTTGCTGGTGTTTGACCCTGCCTGTTTTGACCACTCTTGTGAATAAAAGCAGCATTTGGATCCTCAACTCTGTTGTCACGCCTCCCACATTACACATACACACACACAAAAAATGGTTATTTTAAAACTTGTTCGCTGAAAGGTTCTTTGAGGTGCCAAAAATAGTTATTCTGGCATCGGTATGAAAATCCCCTTTTGTAACCTTTATGAGTATAATTTTATTAAATGTTTCATATTTTTATTTTTTTTTACCAGTTCAGTGAATGTGTTGCGTAAACTGAGAATGTCCTCGCTTATCCTTTCTCCAACATTTCTCCATCTCCTCTCTAGCCGTCTGAACTTGCTCTTCATCAGGCAATCCAGATACACGCGTGAAACGCAGTCATAGGATACATTCACAAAGATCTGTCAGAAAGAAAGTGGGGCAGAGAAGCAGAGAATAAGTGAGAAAGTTTATGAAAAGCTACAATTCTGTTCTTGAAGAACTGATTTCAACTGGGTATTTGGGCACAGAACCAACCTCCTGAATCTCTTTTCCCACATCAGTCTGAGGCAGAGATGCACATTGCTTTTGGATTGCCTCTGTCAGCCCTTGAATTTGCTCACCTCCTTTTTTAAAATAATGTCTTAAAAAGGCCTAGAAATGTAAATTTACAAAGAAACCACAGTTAATTTCAGGTTTTTAGATCTATGGCGAAAATAACTGCAAAACCCTTCCCTCTAGAGTGCGTAAACACAATGTGTCTTTTTTTTTTACATCATAGTGACTTTATTATATATCATGAACATTAAACAACAATTCTTCCATAATTATCCCTCTAATCACTCAATGACCTGTTATTTATTGGCTGTTGATTCTGGAAAATGTGTCGTTTTGGTTCTCTTGGATCTAAGTGCAGCCTTCGACACCATTGATCACTCTATTTTGTCTTGAGCAGTATGTTGGCATTAGGCGAACAGTTTTAAACTGGTTTGTGTCCTATCTCAAGGGGAGAACGTTTTCTGTAGAAATTGAAAACTTCACTTCCTCCTCTGCTGCATGTACGTGTGGTGTGCCACAGGGATCTGTTTTAGGCCCTGTTTTGTTTTCCCTCTATCTTCTTCCATTAGCCAATATTTTTCGTAAGCATCAGATTTCATATCATTGTTATGCAGATGACATACAGCTTTATCTACCAGTTAAGTCTGATGAGAATACATCTCTCCAGTCATTACTTGATTGTTTGAGTGAAGTTAAAAGTTGGATGGCGGAAAACTTCCTTCAATTAAATAACTCTAAGACTGAAATGTTAGTTTTTTGGACATCTGGGTTCTGCCAATATCTTCTCAAAAACCTTGGTTCCTATACCTAACACTGTAGGTATTTACGCAAGAAATTTGGAATTTATTTTTGACCCTGCACTTAAATTTGACGAACATTTAAACTCAGTTGTCAAATCAGCATTTTTTCAGCTTAGGAGGATCGCCTAAATTAAATCTTTTCTTTCATTCAGGGACTTAGAGACCATTATCCATGCATTCATTTCATCAAGACTGGACTATTGTAATTCACTATATTTAGGGGTCACTCAATCTTGTTTGTCTCACCTTCAGTTGGTCCAAAATGCTGCAGCCAGACTTTTAACAAGGACTAGGAAGAGGGAAAATATTACACCTGTTTTGGCTAGTTTGCACTCGCATTGAGTATAGAATCCAGTTTAAGGTATTACTGTTTGTTTATAAGTCCCTGACATGCTTGGCACCAAACTACTCATCTGATCTTCTCTCCCATTATCAGATCGACAGGCCTTTAAGGTCATCAAACACTCTGTTGCTGTCTGTACCTAGGAAACGCTTAAAAGGGATCGTGCATTTTCGGTGGCAGCAGCTCAGTTGTGGAATAACTTGCCTTATTGCTTGAGATCGGCCACTTCTGTTCAGGTTTTTAAATCTTTACTTAAGACATATCTTTTTAAAAAGTCCTATGGACTGGAGTAACTGCTGTATACAGTTTTATTTTGTGTGAATTTAGTGTTGTGTACTTTTTGTGTTTTCTTGTATTCTTTTTGTTTTTTTGTTATTAGTTTAATTCTATTTTCTGTGCAGCACTCTGTCGTTATTAAATGTGCTATATAAATAAATTAAACTGAAACTGAACTCTAGGTTGAAAAAGTATTGTTAATTTTTAGTTCATAATACCTATGGATTTACTACGTAACAAACTCAACCTTATTACAAAGGGTTACCACTTCATTGTTGAAAAATCTGATAGGCATGTATGTAAGCTAACAAATATTAACCTCTATTGATGACTGAGACATTCCCTTTTTGGAATTTGGGAAAGTCCTCAACTTTCCTTCTGTACATAAACTGTTTATGATGAAATGATGTTACCTGTGCTAAGTGTTTCATCATCTTCTGTACAATAGACAGAACATGATCCTCCATCTCCTCTAACATGCAGATAATGTTTGAGAAGTCGTCACTGTTGTTTATATCTGGATTGTTGAGCTGAGGAGCAAAAAATCTACAGCAAAATAAATATATGCATAAAGCTGTTTTTATGACAAAATGAACCTATGAATCTAATGCAGGATGAATCAGAACATTATGCACAGAAAAATGCCAGTTAATTATACACTGACAGGTTTTTATAAATGTATAATTATATTAATCATTAAAAATAGAAATCACCTGATTTGCCTACAGGTGCTGATGAGCCGAAACAGATGCACAGAATTTTTCTTCAGGGTTTGCTGTTTTTCCAGGCGTTTTTTCTCTGCATGCACATACCTAGAAAAAAAAATAGAAGAATTGAAGAAAAAGTTCGTATTCATTTTCATAATACTTTGGTATATTTTTATAAAGAAAAAAAGAAACAAATATGCATAACAATAAATACATTGATAATGTGAAGACATTTTAGACACTTACTCCTGAACAAAATGATGAAGCTCTTCAAGGCAGAGCGTTTGTGCCGTACACATCAGCGTGTGACTAAATTCCTTAGAGCTTTGAATAACAGCATTCAGACACTGTAAAGACATAACAACATAAAATAAGTGTGCAATACCTCAAACTTTAAAACCATTAAAAATCTTATTTTTAACACCAAGAAAAAAATTTGCATTGCACATTGTTTTACTTACTTTAGTGAAATCTAAGTGAACTCTGATGAACGTTTCTTCATCCATTGAGTCTCCATTAGGTCTATGTTGCTCATCATAGTCCAGGATGTTCTGTAGATTCGTGTGGATGTCATTCTGTGACAGTTAAAGTGAGTTTTATGTCATTCCTAAATGTTTTGCTATTTCGGCTACTCTTTTTAGCCTATTACAATTATAATACTTTTAACAAATACAGATGGAGCATATCATGACCTGCAGATTTGGCAGAAGTTTCTCCGTTGCTTTCTGAAACCATCCCGTCAACAGCAGAGGGTCGTGCACTCTGAAGAAATGCTGCGAGTCTGAACTGTAACATAAATTAATTTGTCAATAGTTCATGCTTCATTTGTTTATTACAAGTACATTTACAGAAAAGTAAACAACAATCAATTTTATACCTGAAGAAAACATCTTTTCCCCACAGTAGAAGGCAGAAGATCTCTTTTACAGACAGATCTCTGTTTAGCAGCAGGTCCAGGTTGGTAAAGATGTGACGGCTGTAACTGTCCATCAGATGATCTAGCAGCCCAGCATCTTTCAGTGCAGGTGTTAATCGAAGCACCTCATCATATATCATGCTCTGTGTTCTCTTTAGAAAGTCCTGTATCTGCTCTAACTGAGATCCTTGTGGTCCCTCTGCTGGCAGCGTGGGAAAGTGATTCTCCACAAACTGATCTATTTCCTGAAGGTACTCACAAAGCCAGTCTTGAGAGTAGTTGTTATTCAGTTTGCTCAACGTTTTCAACTCCTCAACTGCAGGGTCAAAGTCCTCAGGGGTTGATTGGTCACTCAGAATCTTTCTGAGAGTATGAAGCACTCTCTTGTTATGTGCTCCAACATCTAGAGCAATGAGATCAGGAACTCCAGACTGCTGTGAACTGTATTCAGATGCCTGTTCCCCTGATAAACGGTTCACTGACAAATAACAATGTGCATGATAAAGAAAAGGGGGGTAGAAAATGTACATTCCAAGTTCATAGAAATGTAATTTTTGCATTAATTTTGGTTTCATGTTTTGAGAACATGTAAGTGGAAGTGTAAAATTCAATGTCATATGGTATAACAATCAAATAAAAAGTAACACATCTTCCTTACACTTTCACAGATGTGAATGCACACATCTTGAACATTATTTTACAAGTCATGAATTATTCACTCATGAATATAATGTTTTGAGAACTTTTACAAACTGAACCGAAAAGTTAACCCAAAATAAACAGACAAAAAATGAGTATCACATGACTCTACAGTTAACCACTAAACACAGATGTGATTCATCAAACCATGACACCAAACAAACTGCTGCAAAACTTTAAACAATATGCTTGCATTGTATACCAATGGAAAGATGTTGGCTTTTTCGACAAATGCAAAGATGATTACTTTCATAAATGTCTATTATAGAAAAATAACAAAAGAGTGTCTTACCATCTGTCTGCTCTATGTTTTTCATTAAAGGTTTGTCTTCATTCCCATTCTTTGTTTTCCGCCTGAACATGCTTGGCATTTTCTTTTCCTTAAACTTCATACTTGACTGACACAAATAAAAAGCTTGCTTGTCCCACAGAATATATCCGAGTAAATGGTGAGTGCAGTGCAGTGTTCAAAGCAGGTACATTTATGGGAGTTATCCCTCATGAATGAATATTCCAGCCAATGGGGTTGCAGCTTATGTTGATAGCTCGGTACTTTCCTCATACCTCAGTGGTTCCATGGCCTTGGAGCTAAAAGGCTGTCTGAAAGCTGTGACACCATGTAAGTGAAAATGAAAGTGAAACCTAGCCCTCTTGGTGTGCCATACAAATATTCACTGTACTGTGTTACAAACTAATATCATCATATTGTACAAAAGACCATGTACAGTAGCAAGAAGTTACATCGTATAACAGGGAAATGGAAAATGTAAGTGATAAAACGGCCCTTAGAAGTGCCAGTGGCAGTGGCTTGTGCTTATATTGAACCGACACAAACATGGTAGATCAAGTGGCAGTACTGTGGTAAGACAGAATCCATCTATTTCCCATCACTATAAAGTTATGGCATGCTGACAAACAAGTAGATTACCTTGCAGTGCTTTAATGCTGCTTAAACCCTAAACTGTATCATATTTTCATACATAAGTATTAAAGGCTTCTAAATGATATCAAAACTTTACATAAAATCCTGTTGTACACAGTCTACTACATGTCTTCTGCCTGATTTTTATAAAGTAAACGTAGGGATAACTTTTATGTTGTTAGCAATATTTAAGATGGACACTTACTGAACTAAAGCAGCTTAGGTTCAATTGATTCAAAAAAGATATATGGATATTATCCATATATATATATATATATATGTTTTTTTTTTTTTTCTTTTTTTTTTTTTTTTACAAAAATCATGTTAAAATGCATATCAAATATTACACATCAGGCTTTTGAGAAATGTTTATTTCCCAACAATCACTTTATTACATTGCATTATATAGACATATTGGAAGATACAGAGTGACAACTGATATTTATACAGTATGCATTTTATGTTAGTGGGCATATAACGTTTCAAAAAACTGTTCCATTTAAAAAAAATTGACTATTATTTAAAATGTCAGGCTTTACAGGGGTAATTGTTTCCAATTCCACCTGTATTTTCACTTTGATCAGGTCACCAAATATTTGGTGTAGACAGGTGTGAAAAACAAAGATTTAGGACATAGTTAAATAAACATCAGATTTGAATACTTAAAGACATATATAGCACAATGTTAGGAGAACATTCTCCATAACTTACTTTTACTAACTGACCTCAAGCAACTAACTAACCTTACAACAGAATAGTCCCTTCAGAGGATGACGGGTGAGATGTGTATGATCTGGATTTGGGCAGGGTTCCTGGGTCACATCCAGCACTTCCCTCACCTGTCTCTCTGATAACACCCCCTTCCAGCACAGCAGACCAGGTATATACTGCTCACTGCAAAACATTGAGAAGAAAACTTCACTGCATGAAAAACAAAAATGAAAACAAAATCACTCATTCTATGCTTGCATACTCACACAAAATGAAAACAGCTACTTTTAAAAAACTGTAAATACATGTTTGCATTTGTAGTGAAGCATTAATTGTGATCAGCGTTTACATTTCCTGAGGGCAATCTCTGAACAAATCACAACAGGTAATCTTCAGTGTGTCACGCCCATGGACTGTTTTGTGTTTGTTTTCCTCCCCCACATGCTCTATGACCTATAGTTTCTCCCTTGTGTTTCATTGTGCCCATATTTGGTTCTTCCTGTTCCTGCTACTAGTGTGTTCATTGATTTCAGATGTTTCTCGTTGGTTCCCTCGTTAGTCATGTATTTAAAAGACTGTTCAGTTGCTTGGTTCCTTTTTCCGGTGTCTAAAGTCTACTCCATGTGCCACGTGTGCGTTCCCTATGTTCCCTGCTTTTTGGATTAATAAAGACTGTTATCATTGTGACTCTCCTATATGTGCTCCTCGTTACTCGCTCCAACACAGTGCTTCTACATCCCTGCAAAGCAAAACTTCACTGAGTCTCTGAAGGAGATGGTTCCTTTGGTCATCACTGCCATTAAGTAATAGAGATACATTGGATACATTGTCTATGAAAGTACTGCATTGCACTGATGCGGAGTGCCATTCTACAGGCAAAAATCACTTTACTAAAGCCATGAGCTTTTTATTTATGTAATGAATGTAAAAACACACTGTTCTCTTATGTCAAAAGTCAAGGATTAAAATGACTTGCCATAACCACCATAGTCATAGAGAGGGACAAGAGATGTAACAGTTGCTGTGGACCAATATGAGCCTTAAACTATTAGATACCACACAACCCATTCTGTACTGTACGTGGAGCAATTATGCTGAATAATGTTTGATCCTTACTTCCAAGGGTCAACTGCATCAGAAAATTAAAGAGTCCTTAAAGAGCTATTTGAGAAAAAAAAAAAAAATTTCACCAGATCAGAGAATGTCTTGTGAAAATGTTGAACATCCTCTTGTATTTCCCCAACACTGCTCTAGGTTTCTGAACTTTGTCTTCATCAGGCATTCCAGGTACACTTTGGAAACACTGTCGTAAGCTATTTTCACAATGACCTGTCGAGAATTAAGAGATTGTTGGAGAGATTGAGGGTGAGATATGGAGCTTGAATCTTTTTGATTGGTTTTAAAGTCATACACTGTGCATACCGCTTTGATCTCTGAGGCGATCTCAGGCAGAGATGCACACTGCTTTTGGATTGCCTCCATTAGGATATCAATATGCCCATTCCTTTTCTCAAAATAACCTTCTAAATTGGCCTACAAATGAACATTTAAAGAGAAACAGGTCTGTAAGTTTGATATTAAATGTGTAAGGTTTCATTATCCTTGTTGTGTACATCAGTAGCCCGGAGAGATGGATTTCACAATTCTTAATTTCACGTGCACAGCAGTGGTCTTGTATTCTGAACAGATTGTCATAAAAACAGATGTTAAAGGAATCAAAACATACCTGTGCTAAGCTTTTCATGATCGTCCATACAATGGATGAAGTATTATCTTCCAGTTTCTGTATCATGCATATTGTACTTGAGTCGATGTCACTTGTTTGTATTTGGACTGATTTGTGTAGCACACCGTCTATAGTTAAAATAAATAACACTGATTTTATGATAAAACTTAAGAAAAAAAGGCATTAAAGGTAACCGTAACTATAGGTATGTATTTCTTTTATTCAGATAGTGAAAAGCCAATTTAAAGTGCACTAAAAATTTCACTCAAAAAAAGTTTTCAAACCAAAATTAATACTTAGCTACTTATTAGCACAATTAAAAAAAAATAATAATACACTTACAGGATGCTGAATCTTGTAATAACAGTGACCTAGAAAAGCTATTTTATTCTACACAATATTTTAGCCCAGTTGATCCCAACCCGGGGGTCGTGACCACCACTAGGGGTCGCTAAAAACTTTTGAGGGGTCATCGAATTCATTCCAGTTTGAGGGTTACAAATAGAAACAGTTGCAGTTTGAACAAACCACAATAAAATTCCAGACAGTTACCGTTTAATATTTTAATTATTATTAAAACCACATTTGATTACCGTGGTTTGAAAAAAAAAATCAAGGTGAACGCTGTAAAGTCAAGGTTTTACAGAGGGAAACTATATGAATATGAAGTATAAATGAATAAACAAAGTTCCAACACTAGGGATTGCTCTCGGGAGCTCAGACACCTCAGACAACATTGGGAAAAGGCCAATGAAATTGCTGTAGCTGGCCATGCCCCTGAGATACGGCTATAAATAGGCAGTTTTTCGGAGCTGAATGCAGCATCTCTCATTGAGCAGCATTTCATGCACCTCACCTTTGAGCAACATTTCGTTCACCTCTCCCTGGGTGCTTCTACAGCGATCTTTAAGAGCAAATTTCCTCCAAAAAGAGTGAATTCTGTAAAAGAGCTTCATGGGTGGAACTGTGTGTGTTTACATCATGCCTTACTGCCCATGCCCTTCTGGATACAGTTTCCGGATCTCTCTCCCAAAGCCTGGCACAATTGCTGCGTTCAGTGTTTGGGCCACGCTCACGCTGAAGCAGCTCTCATGGATGGTTCATATCCTGCTTGTGAGGACATGGCAATGAACACGGGACACCTCGACTGCTTCTCGGTCCGGTCCTTCTACTTTTGGGTATGAGGCAGCAGCGATGTCCTTCGGGGAGGAGCAAGGTGAGGCGAGAGAAGAGAGAAGTTCCGCCAGGTGAATCCCCACGGACCTCTTGTTCTTCTCACACCTGTCCTCCAGTTGAGCTTCCGGATAAGTTTGAGAGCTCATCTCAGGGCGAGTTCAAATTCTCATTCAGGGCTCACAATGAGGATGAGTTATAAATCGCAGCATCAGAGAGCAGGCTTGAACCATCAGAGGCTGATGACTCCGCTGAACCTGCTCCATCGGGGGCTGAGTTTCAGTCTGAGGCTGACGCCTTGATGGCGGCCATGCTTGCCAAGAGCATTAGGCTTAAGCGGACTCCTCTACCCTGTCCCCAGAGTACACGGCTGGATGATTGGTTTTTGGGTGCTGAACGCGACACTAAGCCACGCACTGCCCAGTTCCTTTCTTCCCAGAAGTGCAAGAGGAACTGACAAAATCGTGGAAGGCCCCCTTTTTGGCTAGGACATAATATACCAGCTCCTCTGTCCTCACCATCCCTGACAAGGGTCCTTTGATGGGGTACATGGAGGCTCCCCAGGTGGAGCGAGCGATTGCGGTGCATCTTCGCAGGGCCGTCTGAGACTTCTGTCCAGGGCCTGTAAGATTTCGTCGTCCCTTTTGGCGAAGACTTATACTTCTTTTGGACAAGCTGCGTCTGCCCTGCACGCCATGGCCATCCTGCAGGCTCACCAGGCCAAGGCCAAGGCCAAGATCTGCACGAGGGTGGTCCCAACCTGGAGGTTTTGCAGGAATTGCACTCGGCGACTGACTATGCCCTCCAAGCTGCGAAGGTCATTGTGCAGGCTCAGGGCAGGGCGATGTCCACGCTTGTGG